ATGAAGATGCTGCTGCTCGGTCTGCTGCTGGCTGCTCCGGCCGGAGCCGACCTGTCCGGTCAGCCGCTCCGCCGGGGGCCGGCCCACACCTCTCCCTCCGCCCGCGCGCGGCTCCTCCTCCTGCAGCCCGCACTGGAGCGCGGGGCTCCCGGCGTCGCCTCGGCCCGGTCCGCGGAACCGGCCGGCGGCGGCGGGTCGGAGGAGCCGGCGGCGGCGGAGCATCCTCACCACGGCGGCGGGTACCGGGTGTCCAGTGGGAGTGGAGCTACGTCCAGACGCCCTACATCATCGCCATCTGGCTGCTGGTGGCCAGCGTGGCCAAGATCCGTAAGTCCGCCGCTGTGCGTGTGTGTGATATGTCAGACTGGACCGGAACTGGTTTTACTCGAAGTTTCACGAGAAACACAAGGGCGCAATAACCTCGCGAGGGGCGGGGCAAAAAAGATGGGGGCACCTAATGAATCATTTATTTATTGGCTGATCAGTAAAAATTCTGATGAAGAAGAACTGGACCCGAACCTGTCACTGGATCCTGAATCTCAAGAATTTAAAGTTTATTCAATGAAAACCAGGATTTGAAAGTTTGGTGGCTGTGAAGGACAAACTGGTCCCACAATGTCCTCATTGATTCTAAGAGTTATTTCAGACAACGACTTAAAAAAGACGATTAAATGAGCTAATTTCCAATAAATGTATTCAACGTGTTGTTTATAAATAAATCAGTTAATTTATAACTAATTATTAAGTTAGTTATAAACTTAAACTTGTTTAAGTTTATCGGTTATCGGTTTCATCGGTTGCTCAAAGAAACAAGGTCCTTTAATTTGACTGAAAGGAGAATAATCTGGATAAATTCTCTCGGTTGTTTATATTTCTGTAATGAGTTAATATTTATTGATAATAGATTTTATTAGTTAATATTTAATCTGCTTCAGAATCGGTGTTCCTGTGTGACTTTAGCTCAGATTTTCTGCAGGAGGGTAGGTGGAGCTGTTGATGCTTCATCACCATCATCATCGTCATCATCATCATCATCATCATCAGGTGGAGCAGCAACAGGTGGTTGGCAGGAAGTTTGCTTTTCTTTATGACTGTCAGACAAAAGGCTCCTCCTTTTTCCTCCCACCTGGAGAAACTTCAGCGTGAAGGTTGGCAGCAGAGGAAGAGGAGGGAGAGGAAGAGCTAAGATATAAATCATGTTGATCCAGATTCAAACTAAGGAAACTGAGCTGTGCAGAATTTTTCTGATGATTCTGTAAAAAACAATGAGCTGAAAAAACAAAAACAGTTTGAAAAAAAGCTTCAGGTGCAGGAAGAGCCACACACACACACACACACACACACACACACACACACACACACACACACACACACACACACACACACACACACACACACACACACACACACACACACACACACACCTGGAGTGGCTGCCAGCTGAGCTCCTGGTGGATCTGAAGGAGGAAGGAAACATCAAAGTGTTTCCTCCATGACTCCCAGTCGCTCTGTGAACTGGGAACTCTGGTCCAGTCTGCTATCATCACCGTCTGGGTAATCCGATTACTGATGCAGCACCGTCATTCTGCTCTGCTTCCTGTAATCCACCATGACTGCATGTGACCCGAGCAACAAAGCCGCCATGTTGACGTGAGGCCATGAATCAGCTAGAGGTGATGCAGGAAGTGATGCAGGAAGTGATGCAGGAAGTGATGCAGGAAGTGATGACACCTGGTTTTAAAAACTGACTGGCCAAGCTCACGTTTCTGACTCAAAAGAGCAGCTAACCTTCATGGTGCAGACTGAGCTTCTGAGCAAAACGATAAGTTTGTTGTTTTGCAGCCTGGGTTTTCTGCAAATCCAGTAACTTTCACAATAACAACTCATTTTACACAAACTTCCATCCATCCATCCATTTTCACCCTTCTCCCTAACGGGTTGGGAGGTGCTGGTGCCTCTCCAGCTGCGTTCCGGGCGAGAGGCGGGGTCACCTGGACAGGTCGCCAGTCTGTCGCTGGGCAATTTTGCACAAACTTGCGCCTGTTTTTATTTCTGCAAAGCTCAATCACTGAATCACTATTTTATTGGATTTATGTGTCAGTAGTCATAATTCATTGATTCCATCAGGATTCCTGTAGTTTCAGAGCTTTAAGCTGCAGAACCAAATGTGAGATTAAATCAGAGCAGAATTTGCTCTAGAGATTTAACATGTTTTCAGTCCAGACCTTCAAAACTCTTCAGGTTGTTAGAAATAAACTAGAAAAATCCAGAAGAGAGACAAAATATTCTATGAGTTTCTGTTTCAAACTTCATAACTTCATAATAATCTCAGGTCCAACATGTCTGACTGTAAACGTGAAAACCTTCTGATCTGCTGCCTGTTAGCAGGTCAGCATTCGGTGCTTTGGTCATCCCTCATGACTCAAAGGTCAAAGTTCAGTATCTGAAAGTGAAGCAGGTCAGAAGCTGAAACTCTGGATGATCCGACATTAAACCCTGA